CTGACTTTTGTCAATAAAAAGGCTTCTATGCAGAGAGCCTTAAAAGGTCTTAAGAAATTCTGAAATACAAACTTCATGATAAAAATGGAAAAAAAAATATTTAACGTGACCAAGGATACAAGCTATAATACGATGGACACACAAAATGAGCTCTGAGTACTACGAGGGTATGGGAGATTAATGATTTCTTGTATCAATCATAAGATGACCCAAATCTCTGCAAAAACAATATTTTCTCTATTATCATAAAATTATTCTAGACACGGGGCTGCCAATCAGATCGTATTAGTGGTGGGTAGGGACTAATCAGTCTCCTTTTATGGGCTTTCAAATACCCAACTATCATCTGTAGAGGAAAATCAGCTGCTGAAGCTATGATGAGAAGTCTGTGCTTAATTACTTACTAATCCGTCTGCTTGAAATTCAGTGCTATGGAGTTGGAAAGGAGATCTTGTCTACTTGATTCATCTTCAGGTGATTATCAAGAATCTGAAACAGCTCTTGGATGTTCGGCACGTGTCCTGACTGCAGCTTTGACCAGACTGGGACATCTTCAGAAAGCACAAGGAGAAAAAAAAGTTGGGAAAAATTAAAAATGACAACTTTATAATTACAAAATGCATATCCTACAGTGAAACTGGAAAATGAAAACGCTATCACAGTACAGTAACTTTGACCTGGCAGTCAAATATTTATTTTGTGTTTGGAACACTGCATTATAATAAAGAGTAGCCATGGAGATGAGACTGAACTGAACTGGGCAGCAGTTCAATGTAAGTGCCTGCTCTATCTCTAATCAGTAGAAGGAGATCTGAGTTTCTCTATGTTCCAAGGGCACCTTGCTGAAAACATAGCTATGAGAAGTAACTTGCTGTGTAGCAGAATTGTCAGGTAAGGATACATTAAGGAAAGCCAGTTTACTTTCATAAATTAAGCTGATTGGTGAACTGGAACATTCAATTAGCAATGCACGATATGGAAAAACATATCCATTAGAGGGCTGAGTCACAGTCTCTCAAGGTTTTCTGTGAATGTCACAGTTAAAAAAATGCACCAGTGCATTGAAACAAAAAATACCCTCATTCAAAAATATTACACTGCTTTTTGCTTATAGAGAAAATAAATCAGTAAACAAAGTAGACGATTTCACAAAATTGTCTGTCTACTGATTCTGGAGATCAACTGCAGCTCAAAGTTTTCATTTGTACCTGATCATTAATGGCTGACAGACGGGACAGGCAGTGAACACCTGAACACCAGAGTGGCAACTGAGTGTTGCAGTCCTGCTACAGTTAAAGAATACATAACGAAAGCCACTCACCATTGAGTGTGATTTCAAAAGCACCCGTAGATAAGAAATGGGTCTCCAACATGTTACTGAAGAAAAACGTCATGAGGCATGAAAATATCTGGAGAAAAAAAAAAAGGCCCCATTTTTCCTCATCCTGCTTAATTCCAAGGAAAAGCTGCTGGTATAAGATGTCTCCAGAAATGAGAAGCTCTGCCTGCTAGCAGACACTGTACACTTCAAACCAATTCCAGATTTCACCACTCTGACATTCTGTGCTAACGAGAGCAGGCCTGATGTGAGGAGAGCACTGGAGTGGGGAGAGGGGTCCGTTTGCTCATTAATGAGCTTCATGTCAGATCCGATTAGCAGAGCCAGGCTACACCCACACTTAGACGCCTGGCTGCTAACAGCATACAGGAGTGTCCAGAGAATAATTATAAATTGGAACAGAAATTCTTGAAATCCGTCTGATAGCAATTTCAAGTCTTAAGAAATTCTTGGCATTTATTTTAGCGACTATCATGTAACTTTCATTTTTTTAATTAGTTCCCTAACTACATAATTATAAACAGAATGGTGGAGCACATCCCAGACTACATACTGCATTTGTAATTAGTTTACTTTGTCTACATAAAATGATTGATACTGTGCATCTGAAACAATCAGCAGAGCCGCAGAATAGCAGAATACAAAATACGAGGAAGGATGTAGTCTAAAACCTTGACATAAAGTTCTGACTTTATATTTCCGTATTCAAGGAAAGTCCCTAATCTTTTACCTTATTCTCTTGGCTCCATGTCCATATTCTTGGAGTGTCCATTCCGAGCACAGGGAAGGGATTGTATCCGCTCACAATCAGTGCAATTGCAATAAGTTTGAAGTAAGAAATGAAAGAAGCAATGTATCTAGGAAATAAAATTAAAATGATACAGCATAACAACACTGACAAAGCATTTAACTGTACTCAGAAGTATTACAGAAGGCATAAACCATTTTACAAACAGAATCGCATGAGGCTCAATCACTAAAGGTGCCCTTTCAGAGCACAGATTAGGCTCCAGAGACCAGATCATACTGCTCCAAATCTGGGCTTTGTCATTCGTGTTCTGTGGAGGTGGGAGAGAGGGTCACGTTGCAGGGAGGACACCTGAAAATCCTGTCTTGGAATTTTTTCAAAGAAGAGCCAGAAAAGGTGTTCTCATTCACTCAGTAAGGCATTTATTCATATTGTGCAATAGGGAAAAACAGCAACCACCAGTCTGTGCAGCAAGTGTGAGCTGATTTTCCAAAGTAAAATAGAAAAAGGTCCCCTTATTTTATACACTCAGCTGATGCAACACCTCAGCTTGTTTACTTCATTATGGTTGGTCAGTAATACAAAGAAAGGCAAGACAGTAATTTTCCAGTCCTTATAGGTCTTAGCCTTGAAGGACAGAGAAGACAGCTATGTGTAGTTTTGTATCTGCCTTCTGTGCTGGGGCAGAGATAAACATATTCTTAGAACATCCTGTGCCCTTGACTCGCTGGGTACAATCACACTTTGTTCATTGAATCCAGCTGCTTTTACAACAAGCTCTGCCCGTAAACTACATTTTTACTTCAGTAACTGTCCATTACAACACCGACACTGGTTGAAATAAATACAAGCATGGAAAGTATTTCATTAGTATGGACACTATTCTTACCTGTAAATAGGCTTGGTGGGGTAGTTCTCGCCCTCGATTCGGATGTCGGGGTACAGCTGGCTGATTGACCGGGAGTACTCCTCGAACACCCTACTGTACCCTCAGGATATGCTGCAGAGCAAGAGACACAATTGGACACGTCAGTCTCAAGCATTCTGCTGCTCCAAGAAGCTCAGCAGATGGCTTCAGAAACCTCTTTCACTCTGCACTGCTTTTGTACAAAACTGCTACTGAACTTCACACCAGGAGCATTACTAAAAAACAGAAAATCTCATCAAACCTGAAGTCTTCCTACCTGAGGTAGCCCTGCATAAATCACCGAGCACAGACGGTACATACTGGCCAGCAGCCATATCACTCTGCAACTCACAACTTTCAACCCACTGAAGCTAAGCAGGTGTGAGCCTTGTCAGTACCTGGATGGGAGACCTCCTGGGAAACACTAAGGTTGCTGCTGGAAGAGGTGTTAGTGGGGCCAGCAGGGGGAGCTCACCCTGCAGTCCATGAGGGTCCTAATGCCCCAGTATAGTGATGGGGACACTATACTGTAAACAGGCGCCGTCCTTCAGATGAAACGTAAAACCGAGGTCCTGACTCTCTGTGGTCATTAAAAATCCCAGGGTGCTTCTCGTAAAGAGTAGAGGTGTAACCCATGTGTCCTGGCCAAATTTCCCATTGGCCCTTACCAATCATGGCCTCCTAATAATCCCCATTTATGAACTGGCTTCATTACTCTGCTCTCCTCCCCACTGATAGCTGATGTGCACTATGGCTGCCGGCGCATCATCCAGGTGGGGCTGCACACTGGTGGTGGTGGAGGGGATCCCCATTTCCTGTAAAGAGCTTTGAGTGGAGTGTCCAGAAAAGCACTATATAAGTGTAAGCAATTATTAATAATTATTATTATAACTGCGACAGGCTAAACTGCAGAAAACAAAGAAACATTCATGGACAAAAACACTACAAACACTGAAGAAAGAAATGTTGGACACAGAGGCACATGCAGCAAAGTATACCAAAAATGGCTGATTTGAAAAATGTTCATTACAACGGCAAGACCTGGCCCTGCTGGTCCCTCAGCAATGCGCTTCAAAAAAACAGGAGCAGACGAGGCTGAGCACAGGGGGATAAAAGGGATTTACACTCATTAGCCCTGGTGCAGACGCCATACTGAAATCCCCTCGGCTTCGCAAACATAATTCTTCCAGTCCCGTTACTGTTTCAGGGAGCCATCTGCATCTCCTCTGAAAGATTCAGAGCTGCTTCCAAACAAAGTGGGAATTTCCGCTACATCCACACCATGCTAACGTCTTGATTTCAAACTCAGCTCCCAGCCCATCTGAGATCAATAAACAAGCCAGAAATGACCCTCCATCTGGATGAGGCACCAAAGCAGACTTTGTTTTTGTATTTTTGAAGGCCTTACTCTGCTTTATATAATGTGAAATGCACAGGTTGTCGCTGCTGGTCTGAAGTGTCGGGCTCTGAGATTTCTTAGAAAACCCCTGTGAAAGTGAAAGCGACAAGAATCTGCAGACCAGGCTACCGACAGGGCGTCAGCGAACAGGGTGTCATCACCCGGCACTGCTTAACAACCACGGACGTGCGCGTCTGACACTCCTACGATAATCAATAATCGTCATCCCTGCGCTGGTGCTGTCCGGGGAGCGAGCCTGGACTGCAACAATCGGGGCAGAATATTTCCCGTCCCGAGTCAGTCTTTAAATGGCACAAAATTGTAAAACAAAATCTTACTAAATCGTAACTTTTTTTCTGTCCAATCATGTCTTTCAAAAATGACTCGGCGTTTCCAGAAACAAGTCAATTAAACAACAGTATCGAATCAAGGGCGTGTTTTTGCCCTCTCCCTACCAGAACTGGAACTTCAGGACCGGCCCGGTGTACATCTTCTGCTTGGCCGGCTTCTGATAGTCCCCGTCCCGCAGGCCGCCGGGCCCCACGCCCAGGCTGTCCGCGGCCTGGCGCTGCTGCTGCTGCTGCTGAGCCCAGTTCTTCCCCAGGTAGATATCCCGCACCGTCACCACCGTGAACAGCAGCAGGGCCATCAGGATACCCGCCTGGCTGTACTCCGCCATCCTCCCCCAGATCCGGGGGGTAATCAATCCCCGATTGAAAATATGCGGCTCTCGGCTCTCCAGCGACCGAAACAGGATCACTGTCTCCCCGGATTCAGCCGGAATCCACCTGCGTCTCGTCAAACGTCTTACACTGATCACACGCTCCACCCAGCGGCGGGAGGTCGGAAGGGCACCTCATTTGCGTGCTATCATTTTGCCTCACGTCTCGCTAAATCGGAAGCCAAAGAGTTCGAGATAAGGAGACTGGGACACAGTTAAAATCAGCGCTGGGATTAGCTGTCGCATCGATACTTGTGATCATTTTACACTAGCCCATCTTGTTAAACTGGGCTGCTGTAATCTGACTGTCTCGCATAGAAAAGGGGGGTAGTCGCTCAGAACCACAGGAATGCTAGGATTTAATGTTAAGTATATAATAATACAGCAAACACAAATGTAATTGCTTAGGTTCCCGAAAGCTTAAGTGGTGCGTTTGTGTCCCAACTGGGTATTTCAAATAAATTACATTTATAGTAAGATCTTAATTACCACAGGCAATTTGCTTTTGGGAGTGGACGTTTTATTGCCGTAATGGAAGAGCGAGGCCGGCCATCTGTGATTTATTTTTTCAGTGAGTTACGCTGCAAGGGTTGACAGCAAGAAAAGCCCAATTTTGCCTTCAATTGTTTTCTCGTCGGCGTCTTTGGTTCTGTTCTCGGGGACTCGAACAGCAAACCCAAAGGCGCTTGGGCCAGGGACAGCTCTCATCTTCGGAGCAGACAAACTGTTTAATTAGCAGGGCGAAAGGAGCAGGGGAGCAGGGAGATGTCAAACCGGAGGGTTACAGCACCCAGCACATCCAGCCCACGGAGGCCAGGTCCTGAACAGGCTGTGGCCCTGAGCGCCTGCACAGTCCAGCGCTGTGTTAATGGACTGAGGAACAGGACAGGGAAAGAAACAGTTTTTCCTGACGAGTTTCTTCAAGCCTGCGTAGCTCAGCCCTTGTGCTACTGTTTGGGTTCCATCACTCTGCGTCAAGGTCTTGTGTATTTGCTGTAAAGGCTGTTAAAGGTGACGCCAACTCAGACACCCTTCGGCACCTCCGCACTGCGATAGGGGATACTGTATGTTTAAGCATGTGCATGTCTGAGCCTCTTCATTTACACAGCACTTATCTAGATAACCCAAAGAACCGTAGGAGAGGAGCACATGAACAAACTTAAATGTGCTTATTTGTAGTTCTATAGTCTGTAACTTCTCAATAAAGAATGAATAAATTCTTTAAAAACCTTATTCTATACAGAATGGGTTGTTGTTTATGCTCCTTTTAATTTGACAGCGTGGTAGGTACTGTGGAAACTGATTTAATGACAAAACAGCAACAGGCCAATTTGAAGCCGATTTAACCCATCAACTAGTAAGAAAGAAGGAATGAAAATTCAGGTTTTCATTTTCATTGATTACTGTTTCCAATTTTGCCACGGATTCAGGTGACACAGTGTCCAGTCTTTGTGCCTCGGCCAAGCGTGTCTCATACCTGTGGCCAGGTGGGGATATCACCTAGCCCCACTCATAACTAATTTCCCATTATTAGTGCTGCAGTGGTCTGCGGAAAGCTCCAAGTAACAAAGGCTGTTGGCACTAACCCTACAATCGCCACTTGTTTCCTCTCTCATGGGTTGTCCACGTTGATTAACGACACTGTAGCTGATGAATTGGTTTCCTTCTCTGCACTTTATTGATGTTCACTGAGTGTAGCTTATTAGCTGTAAGCAGACGGTGATCTAAATGCTGCCAGACTGCAAGGACCAAACGTGATGTATCCAGACATTATGTATCACACCCTGTAGGTGAAGCTGTGCTGGTCTTGAGGTCACTGTGTAATCATGACATCATGGAGATGCAACTTTGGCAGTGAGGTCATTGTGTTAGCTCATCAGTCTATGCCGAAGAGCTGAAACACAAAGAACCAACTCAAATTCTTAGCCTTTCTCATATGCTAAAAAATGTCCCATTTCCTTAATCACATTGTGCTTTGGTGGTAGCTACTCTTCTGATTTTGTTCCTGTTTTTCTTTTATCTGACATTTTGTTTTCCTGTTACACATCAGAATATTTTGGCTACTTGATCAATCAGGATTCTTTCCAATGATTCCTGTTTCCATGGTGATAAGGATTCTGATGTTGGGCAGAAAGGGGGACAGTTTTTGATGGTGACTTCTTTGAAAAATAATTTTCTGCAAGAAGCTAGAACAACAATCTTGAGATTATGTTGTTGATACTATAAAAAACTAAACAGACAAATACAAAGAAGGGCAAATGAAACAGTTATTCTATTTCAAGGAAAATATAAACTAGGGAATCACACAATGACATACAGGGCTAAAATGCCACACAGCTAACTGAAGTGACCAGAACAGCTCATCTGAATTGCTGAGAAATGAGAAAACTGAAGAAAGAAAAACAAAACAGAATTAGTCCACAGTGCTTTTTCATTTATTTTTCTTCCAACTAAAATTAACACATTTGTCCTGTTTATGTTCTCTTTGGAGAGACAGGACCTCTGGTGCTATCTTCAAGACCTTACAAAAAGATGGAGGTCTTCTTTGGGGGAGAGGAGAGGTTTGGATTGATCCAGGGATGCAGCAGAACTCCGGGAAGAGCACAAGACAGGTTTTGTCCAAGAGAGAGGGCTGTGAATGTGAAAGATAAACCTGTCCATCCACTCGCAGCCACTGGGAGTACATATCTGAGCTTCCGATCAAGTAATGTCTTTCATCAGCCTGGGAGTCATCACACTCTTACAAGATTACATCGTCAAGGCCTATTAGCAGATACTGAATAAATAACAACAGTGATCTAATTCTGAAACAGAAGAGGGAAGACATTTAATATGAATTACTTCCATAACATTAATTCCCATTATGATTTAATAAAAGAAAATCTGAGTTTTTAACATGTTCTACTGCACTCAGTACTCTTTACTGTACTAGAGATGCCCTCAGAAGAGACACCTCTGTCCAGATCTATCGTTGATGTCAAATTTGCTGTGCAGTTTTTTCAAGCTAATTTCTTTTTAAACAAAAGTTCATATGTCTTAGCTGCATTTTTTGAACGCAATTAGAAAAGTGAGAAAATAAACATCATATTGCTCAAAAGACAGAATCCAGCACTTTCAGTCAAACAGGAGTCCCAGGGGCACATTTATAGTCTCTTCAGTCTTCAGGTCAATTTGAACCTCTCTTTACACAAACAGTTGTGGGAGCATGGAACAAACTGTCCAGCCATTGTTGAAGCTGATACTCTATAGCTACGTTCAAGAAGGGGCTGGATTACAGCCTCTAATCAGTTATCGACTAGCAGGCCAATGTGCTTGATGTGCCCAATGGCCTCCTCTCATTTGAAACCTGATTTTAGCCAGATTGCAATGGGAAGATAATTAGTCTGCTTTTGAGATCAGTCTAAAAACCATGACACAATCAAAGAAAGTTGCATGTCTGCTTGCTGTGTATTTTTTTCACCCTTAAATGATAAAACCTGTCATGCTGCACATGACAGCAATATGATTAAGGCACCAGCAGTACTACTTGTCTGACCTAGTGCTGTAACATGAGAGGCATTCAGGACAATAAATGGCCTTAATGACAACATTTTAAAAATGTCATTATTGCTCATCTTACTGCAAAATTTTTCTGCTGCATTTGAATAAAGGCACCCTGATCCTGACCAACATCCATCTCCGGTCAAGTCAGTCAGACCATAGCCCCATTCACACACTGACTATATGTTAGTTTTGTGGTCAATGAAGGTAAATTATTCAGATTAAACTTAAAAAAATATTTACCTAAAAGGAACATGGTAGGACTGAGAAGGTTATTTACCCAATTCGTTTGTCTCGTTCAGTGACAGCTGACCTGCTCCCTCAAGGAGACAGAGTCCTTTCCGAGCGTAGGAGGGTGTCGATGTCATCCTTGACACACATCGCTCCAGACAGAAATAAGAAACACACCAGGTTACTGTGAGGAGAACTGCAACTTTTTGTGTGCATGTCCCTGTACATAACTAGATTGGAAATTAACTTTCTTTTATAAAAGAGTCACTGTATGCAGGAAACTGGACATCTTTTTGAGTTTGCTGGGTTATTATTCAGTACTTCTAGTAATAATATGAAAAACCTATCCGTGAGTGAAATACATCCATCTGTAATTTAAGAAATCTTATTCTATATTAGCAAGGGATTTTATATGAGAGTGCAAATTACTTTGAGCAGCACAAACCAGTACTTTTTTATGCTGAGGGACATTGTCCTTCTCAGTTCTTGATGAAGGGCGGCAAACCTTTGGCATCTCTGCGATCGGAAGGCCATAAGAGACTTAAAAAAACAGGCAGTGGGATGATATGCACTGATTTGCAACGGAGGGGAAGAATTCAAAAGAGAAATCCAAGAAGAAGGGTTAATCTTGCACAAACGTTTTTCAGAAAAACAAAATGCAGGCACATTCTTTCCCTTAGACCAGTCCTTTACATGACTATATCTCTGCATGTCTGAAATTCTTGCAGCTGCTTCCAGGGGGACAGAGGGCACGGCTCGCTCAGCAGGGACACGAGTTCTTGGGGCTGGGCTCGTGACACAGCTGCAGCCTGCCCTGCTCCCTCTCCACATCCCTGTACAGCAGGGACTTCTGGGCCTTCAGGCGGCAGGCCAGGCACATGAAGATGGACTCCACGTTCTGCGTCTCCTTGGGGTCCTTGGCGGAGGTCTCGAACAGCAGCATGTTGTGGGCATCGGCGAACTTCAGCGCCGTGTTGGAGGGCACCTGGATCTGGCTCACCAGGTCGCACTTGTTGCCCACCAGGACGCGGGGCACGGAGGGCGACACGTGGTGCCCGTTGCACTCCTGGATCCAGGTCTTGAGGTTCTCGAAGGAGGCCATTTTGGTGACGTCGTACACGAAGACGACGGCGTGGACGTTACGGTAGTAGTGCTCCACCATGCTCTTCCTGAAACGCTCCTGACCTGCCGTGTCCCAGACCTGCACCTGCCAACGGGAGAAGAGGAACAACGCAGGGTTACCCAGGGCCAGAGGCAGCAGGCCCAGAGCTTAGATAGCACTTACCTGGACACTCCACTCAAAGCGCTACAGGTCATGGGGATCCTCTCCACCCCCACCAGTTCTTTAGTTTTGTACTATCCCCACACAGCAACTCTCAGTGAGGAGGAGAGCAGAGTGATGAAGCCAGTTCAGAGATGGGGATTATTAAATGATGAAGACATAAGGAACTACATCGCAGATACACAGGCTGAGATGTAGGCCTGTGTGATGGGAGGTGGGAGAGCGCACAGACACTGTTCCAAAGTGTCAGGGCCTTCGACTCCAGAAGGACTAGAATGGAGAAACCTCTTGCAGTACAGGTCAAAGAAGCAATTGTTTTCACATGGGAGCTTCTGGAAGTATGGGTTCATTTGAGTCACACGGGAAAAAAAACAACAACAGGAATCTTTTAGGAAAGAGCACATCAAGGCTCTTTGGGTCCAGGAGAAGGTCTGCTTTATTCTCAGGGTCTTCTCAGAGCTTGTGTCTCTTCACAGCCTTAGAGAACAAAGCAATGACCTTCTCAACGAGCATCAGCGCTCCTGGGCTCCACACAGAACTTAATCTGAGCCCCACTTGCTTCCACAGAGCTTGGGCAATGTACTGTATGCACAAATAAAGTGTTTTGAGTATTTCTCAATACTCAACTCATTTTCAAAGTGTGTGTTGTTGGGCTTTTTTTTTTTTGAGTGCTCAGAGTGGGGAGTCATAATCCATACATCCCAGGTCACAGCTGCTCAGATGTAGTCGCACCTCTGCTCTCCACAGGCATGGGTGCCACACGGTGTACCAGGGCCAGGGGCAGGGCGCTTGGAGATGCTGTCCTTTGCTTAAGGTGACACGTGTAACAGTTTAACGGGAAACACTCAAGCCAGCCTGTATGAAAATATTCCATGGAAGAATATTAAATATTAAATATTTGTGAAGCCGTTGCTGCATATGAGCAGATGAACAGGCCTGTCAAAGCTCGCACGAAATAGAGAAAATGCACGAAATCGATTCTCGTCTCTCTTTGGAAGACGTTAATACTACAAAGACTCCATGAAAACCGACTGCATCATCATTATTATGTTCTGAACGTACCCGCTACACTGCGGCTGACCATGTCTAATCCACCTCGAGCTAACTGGGGGAAAACAATCACAAAGAAAAACAACCCAGCGACATTATTCTAACCTCCCTGCCTTTCTTTCGTCTCGCCTCTGTTTTACATACCTTGATTTTTTCACCTTCGATCTCCACCGCCTTCTCCCTGAAATCCACGCCGATAGTGGCCTCTGTTTTGTCCGGGAAGCTCCCTCCGGTGAAGCGGAAGGTTAGGCAGGTCTTCCCCACATTCGAGTCCCCTATCACGATAATCTTAAATATCCGGGTCTGGACGCTGCGCTCCATGGATGCGTTCAGCTCCGCGGAGGACGAAAGGCTCCGGGGTTTGGACTGACTCGGTCCTCCTCCATTTGCTAGCGATTCGTTTGCCATAACGGTGAGCGAGAATATGGACAGAAGGGTATTACTCTGTTATGCCGTTTAACAGGGGGAGGGGGGCTCTATCCACTCCCCTTAATAACACCACACCATGCAAAAACAAAATCCACAGAGATGCTAATGACACGACAACAACATCCCGTCCTGCCCGTAGTGTGAAGGAGAGAAATGTCCTCTGCTGTGTTTAATGGTGGCTCGGTAATAAAGATGCTTCTCTTGCTACCTCCTCGTAATGAATTCGACCAATAAAACCGCAATGGCAGCTCCACGTTACATCCTCGGAGAGAGACCGGGCGTGTGTGCGTGTGCTCTCCCAGTTTCGCGAAGTGTGTGGGACGCCATGGCCGAGGGCTGCACACGCAGGGCGCCGCGCTGCCGGACCGGTGCACCTGGGGCCGGGGCGCCCCGGGGCTCCTCCCCGCGAGCCCAGGTGCGCTCCAGGACAAGCAGAGGTGCGGCACAGGTCCGCCGCGCCTGGCGCTACAGTGCTGCAGCAGTACAGGCATAGAGCGGAAACACGGCTTGTTTGTAGAAGCGTCCTCTTCTTCAGCGCCGGCCAACAAACGAGGCGAAGTCAGACTGTTCAATCAGAAGTCTGCCATAAGAAGCGTACACTTATTTTATTGGAAAGTAAAGTAATAATGCAAATTTTAGTCTGAATCAATATGCAGCCGCATGTCCTACATGCATCTAAAAGTATGTTTGATCAACATCAAATATATTTTAATGATCCATACTGCATCATTAAAGCATATTTTTGTCGTAGTAAAACTCAAATTGAGTGTACCAAGCAGAAGTAAGTGCTGTGGGTTAGTTAGATAGTTTTGTCTATCTGCTGACTGTGGGGTTCAGGCCATGAAATTATGGGAAATTATTTTTTCTCTTTAATAGTTTATTAATTTCACATACGTCTTTCAAAGATTAACCATAATGTTATGGCTCAGGTGGGTAGCTGTGTCAGCATGCGTAGGCTGCAAAGGAACAAGTAATAGGTTTATTCCATGCTGAAAAAAAAGAAGAAAGAGAACACAACGTTTCGGC